TATGGGATGGAGGGGGCGGTAGAGGGCTCTGTATATGGGAGGAGGGGGCGGTAGAGGGCTCTGTATGGGATGGAGGGGGCGGTACAAGAGAGAATGCGGCAAGACGGGGGAGAGAAGATGGAAGTTGGCCATGTAGAGTAAGAAGATCATAGCTTGGAAATGAGAGTTTCGGGTTTGCATTACATAGCAATTTCTGCTGGGTTCTCTTGTTGAATGTGAACAAAGTGTAACTCTTGGCCCTGCTGTGCGATGGCTGTATTTATTAATTGTTACATAGGCTGAAAAGAGACATGTGTCCATCAAGTTCAGCCTTCCTCACATCTGTTTTTTGCTGTTGATAATCATTCAGATATAATACTGTGGAACCTCGGAACTCGAACGTTCCCTTTCCCGAACAATTCGGAAGTCGAACAACAATTTAGAGTAAAAAATGTCTCAGTACGCGGACGATTCTCATGCAAATCATGCCACAAGCATGTTCAATTAGACACATTTAAAATGCCAGAATAACCGTTACCTATCCCCATTCAAACAATAATATCTCTTCTCCTTTCCACTTACGCCATCAACTCTAATCATTACAGGTAAAATTAAGTTACATTTTCATTTCATTTACTGTACATTGTGTTTTTTATTTTTGTCCTATGCGATTTTGTGCACGTAAGGCATTATTAAACTGTAAAATTAGTTTTGGGGGTCTGGAATGGATGAATCAAACTGGAATGAATTAAGTTTGAGATCTGAGGTTCCACTGTATGCAGTTATAATGCACTGACCCAGGTTATGTTGTGAATACACACATACTGTATCTCTTCCTGATGATCTGACTTCCCTTCACAGTGGATCACCCATCGCCTATACTTGTCTTTTCACTAGAAATGCCTGTTTGCTTTCTTTCTGTGTTTTTTTGCATGTATATGCTAATCCCATCAGGCAATTATCCTCCTCAAACCAGCGATTAACGAAGGAGCCTTCAGATCTCTCATTTAAACCATTAGTCTGTTAGCATGTGTGGGGAACCTCACAAAGTCAGTAGAAAATATTCGCCTGAGGTCAAAGTTTGACAAACACCAGACAGGCAATCTTTGGCGCACTGTGAAGGGCTGTACGTGGACGCAGCTCCAGTAAGCGCCTACAATAAGGCCTGCGTGCCTGATGCCGATTAAAGCCTAATTGGTTTCATCAGTGAACTGAGGCTTTAAAGGCAGAGCCTGCTAAAAAAAATGAGAAGTAATTATTATAATAATGTATAGATAATTATATGGCGGCTAACATGATGCCGATTTGTAGGCGGACTCAGCCTTCCAGTTTTACTGGATGTTTAATGGCCATAGTACTGCGATCAGTTTAACTCTTGCTAAGCAGTGCTACAAATAATCAGTTTATTTGTTAGGTGGAAGCGTTCCTTTGTTAGTTTTGATTTATGGCACCCCAATGTTTCTTTATATAATTACTTACCTCTAATCCAACCACAAGACGCAGAGCTTTAGGTGTTTGGAGTATTCCTTTACCTGTCCTAGCAACCAATGATGTCTAATCGAGGAATCCACTGGATCAAAAAATGAGACCTGGGCCTAATTCACCCTAAAATGTAGGTTGGTAACATTCAGTCTGAGCTGGTTCAAGAGAAAAACAAGACAAAAATTGAACGTTTTTATTAAATAGGTTCTTGGTTGGGGTTTTACACTCAATGACATGTTAACCCGTTCACATTTTGGGATGGAGGAATGTGGCATTCACCCAACTTATAGTGAGTCTCACGTTCAGTGATAATGGAAGGATAGAGGATCTGTGACTATTTTGTACAGTCCATAGAAGATATTAAAGTATAAACATGTACACAATAGTCCTGTTATACAGGTATCTCAAGCCATATTTACTATGTCTAACATTCCATTACAAGTCCAAATGTCACCACTGCTAGCCACAACATGAATGTATAGAGAGTATGGAGTAGGGAGACTATGGTACGTGTGTATTATGAAATATCATGCAGTTCTGCGCGTTTAGTAAGGATCATCCTTGCAGTATCCAGCCTTCAAATGGCTCAGCCACCCCATGTTGCCAAATGTGGAGTTGCGGGAATAAAATAAATAAATATGGAAATGTGTAACATAAATAAATAATAATCTAACAGAGCAGCAGACACCAGTATTTTTTACCAAGAAACTCAATTACGGAATCTATTTGATGTCTGCCATGAACACTCAAAGTATGTAGGTGCCACACGCCGTGTGTCTAATATAAATGTATAGAGATGGACCGGATTGACGGATCGTTGTATGACTTTAATACTTCTCTCTAAAACACCTGGTTGGATAAAAGTTATTAATGTTACGATCTCACAGGAAAGGGATTGGGCAACAATGTGAAGTCCGTTTTGGCCCCGAAATCAAAATAAAGTTTTATGGATTTTTACATTATTTTTCAAACAAAGGGAACCTAGTAGTCGTAAAGGACCAATTTGGACACCATAACAACTTCATCAAAATGAAGTTATTATGGTGCCCGAAGGTCCTCAGCACTGACTCACCTTCAGGGGTTAAACCATTCTAGCTGCAGGGTTAAAATTTGTCGATACATGGAACCCAGACTTCATTGAGATACCTATAGTGTTGCTTTAACCTAAAGGACCACTAAAGGCACACAGACCACTTGATTTCAATAAAGTGGTCTGGGTGCAGTCGTCCTGTCATTTGAACCCTTCAATGTAAGACGTTGTCGTTTAGTAGATACAGGAACATTGTGACTGCAGGGCTAAACAGACGTCTTTAGTGGCTGTTTTACGTCTACCCTTCCCTGCTGTGAGAACTGAGTCAGACGTGGTGCTCACATGTCACCCCCGCTGAATGTTTCTCATAGAAAGCATTCGATTGGAGGAGCATGGCGTGTTCGCTTCTCGTCACCAATGCTAGGTGTGAAACATTCCATTGGACAAGCAACCAAGGAAGCAACAACTACTGGATGACGTCGCTGGAGAAGGAGTGGGTGGCAGCACCAAGTGAGTCTTGACACTGAAAAAAAAAAGTAAAAACCTTTAATACCTTACTGTGATTTAATTCAGGGGTCCCCGACATTATAGCTCTAGGAATACGTTTTGTTTCCTAGAAAAAAAAAAAAAAGCTAATAATGAAGAAGTAACAACTTGTGAAGTATGACATACCAGTGTTTGCAGAGAGGGATGATTGGATGTGCTTTGTTAACCCTTTCCCAACAGCAATTTAAGTATTACGCACACAGCCTTGGAGGATTAGAGTTAAACATTTACAAATTGCTATTAAATCTCTCTGTGAATGTACTGACAGGTTTAAACTGCAGTCCTTTATAAATGTAGTGAATAGAAAGGCACAGATTTGACACATGACAATCTGATACCTACAATACGCTGCGCTCCACCTTTTGTGCAACTGTGGTTCTGTGGTGGAATCTCGGTAAAAATAAATTTAGTAGGCCGAGATTACCACATGGCATGTGTACGTGCATATGCTGACGTATCGATCAGTTGGTTGCACGAGGCAAGATACGATCAGTAGTGTACGGAGCATGTGCAAGAATACAGGATGTAGTATTCCCCTCCTCCATTGTGCTGGACAAGCCATGTGGTCAAGCAGGAAGTTAATTCTTATTTGTAATGATTGGTCAAGAGAATGTGCGGGTGGAGCTTAATATGGGAGGAGTTATGTGCCTATATAGGAAGCCTGCACTATTGTTCAGGGCTCAGAACTTGCTGTATTTTTGGTGACATTAGTCCCTCTGAGTCCCGATCGGTGATCCAATAAAGAATCTCTTCCTTCCTGAAGAAACCTGTGTCCATCCCTCTGTGCTTTGCTTCCGTCAGTTTCTCCGGTATCATTTGGTGCATTGGCCGGGAAGCTCATCGTTCAACGGTAGCTGAGAGGCAGAGGCGTGAGACGGTCTATCTTTGCCCACGTTCTCTACGGCTGCACCCCTGAACTTCTGCGTGGACCTCCCTTCGTCTCGGCGCCACTGGTCTGTTGTCCAGGAGATCATCGGCCTCTACGTAAGAAGTGCTGGGGTGTCCCCGTCGATGAGTGTGAACTCAGGTTCAGGAACGAGGAGGTAAGACAACTGCTGTTTTAGACGGCAGACCCACTAGGGGTATACCGATTGTGCGGTAGGCCCAAAAGGGGTTTAAATCTGTGTATGGAATCTGCCCCCTCTGTCGGAGGGAAGGAGCGAAGGCGCACCGCTCGATCGAACGCTCTTTAGTAAGACCGTTTGATCTGGTTAGTCAGGCGGGGTCCTGTGTAAATAGCCCTAGCCGGACACCGGTGTCTTGTCTAGACTAGCGTTCTAGGGTGTATATTACGTTCGCTAGGTCGGAGGGACCGGGAGACTAAGCGGCGCCTGTGTAAATTCGGTTCGCTAGCTCTCAACCTATCTTGGCTAAGTGGGAAGGCGTGTAAATTTGGAACCCACTAGACTTTTGATAGAGTAAATAGACTAGAAGGGCAATTTTGTAAATTCTGCCCTCTAGTTCGCTATATGTGGTGCTTGGGCAGTGTGGCTAACCAAAACGGGTGTATATAGTTTTAGGTAGTCCATTCAAGGTACTGGCCAATAGTTTAGTTGGGATTGTAAATGTGTTAAAGATTGTTAGTAAAGTGTATATCTTGTTAGATAGCGCGAGCTCAGCCGTCTAGCGAGAGTGTTAATAGTGTGTTGCTGTATCATAGTGCACGGTACCATAACCCTGTATATTTACTGACACTGTATATAAGTACTAATCATTGTCGTCTATTGCATGTTTAACACCATAACCACTAGTAATTGTATTGTGACCTTAAATTGTGCTTTGACCTATGCTAACCGTACTGTAACCGATACTAGTAAAAGACGATGTTACTGGGGTGTGTTATAGACGGGTAATTCATATATAGAGAATTATAGCGTGGGTGACTGTATAGTTTCGCCAAAGGGCATAATATTGATTATTTAGTGACTGGTGTAACAGCTGTGTGTGTACGGGAATTCCCTGAGTGATTATTGTGTTATTGTGTACGTTTCACTTGGTAACTGTACCACGTGGTGCTGTTGCCAGAGGAAACGGGTGTGACTGTTGAATAAGAACGCGTGCATAGTATTCGTTGTCAACGACGTTCCATTGATAAGTATGGGCGCGTCAGAGTCAACGATTTCGGATCCCTTAGGTTGTATGGTAAAGAATTTTAAAAAGGGATTCAAAATATGTGATTTTGGGGTTAAAATGTCTCCTGTTCGTTTGGTCACTTTGTGCACTAGGGAGTGGCCTACTTTGGTTGCGGCATGGCCGCCGCGTGGCAGTTTGGATCCAACCCTGGTACAGCGTGTACACGTGGCTGTGTCAGGTAGGCCTGAACTTTACGGACAGTTTCCATACATTGATTGTTGGAGGCAGGCCGTAAACGACTCGCCAAAATGGATCCGGATATGCCACGAGGAGCAATGTCGCCTCATGGTGGCCAGGACTTATTTGTCCACTAGGACCGGTGTTAGGCCCATTTTGGACACGCCCCCTGAGTCCGAGATCCCTTTGCCGCCCCCTTACTTCCCTTTAAGAGGAAGTGACGCGAATGCAGGAAGTTCTGCACCCCTTCCCCTATTGCCCCCATCCACTTCCGCTTCCTCCTCCAGTACAGAATCCACCCCCCCTCGTATTAAAACTCCCCTTCCTGAACCAGGACCAACCCCCATTAGATCTGAATATCCTGATTTGGCGCCACTTCAAACTTCCGGTCAAGCTTCTTCTAGCTCGGCTCAGAGTATACTATTCACTAATTTTTCACAAAATCAAGTTCCCACATCCTCATGCCCTATTACCTCTCGACCGGAACCTTTAACTGACGCCCCTCCACGTAGCCCCATACTAACCCGACAACTGACCGGTACCCAACAATTAAAACATTATCAGATGCCTCTTCGTCTGAATCCTGGGTCAGCCTATATCGATGCCGCAGGTCAAATGGCACATGCTGACCCAGTCTTCGTATATGTCCCGTTCACGACTACCGATCTCTTGAATTGGAAGACCCACAATTCCTCGTACACTGAGAAACCACAAGCTATGACCGATCTGTTCACCTCGATAGTTCAGACACATAACCCGACATGGGCTGATTGCCAGCAGTTATTAATGACATTGTTCAATAATGAGGAAAGGACAAGGATTAACCAAGCGGCCATTAAGGCGCTAGAGGAGAGAGCCCGTGCTTTAAATCAAGCCAATCCGGCAGCATGGGCCGCAACACATTACCCTAACACCGATCCTGACTGGAATGTAAATGGCGCAGATATGGCTCAACTTAAAGCCTATAGAGACGCTATAATTGCTGGCATGAAAGCCGGAGGGAAGAAAGCTATTAACATGTCAAAGACAGTTGAGGTGATTCAGAAAAGTGATGAAGCGCCCAGTGTCTTTTATGACCGATTATTGGAGGCATACCGCTTGTATACCCCCTTTAATCCGGAAGACGCTGATAATTCCGAATGGTAAACTCCGCCTTTGTCAGCCAAGCTTACGGAGATATTAAGCGCAAGCTACAGAAATTAGAAGGGTTTGCAGGTATGTCTATCACCCAACTAATGGAGGTAGCGAACAAAGTATATATGAATAGGGAAACAGAAAGTAAGAAAGAGGAAGAGCGCAAGATGCGTAGAAAGGCAGATATGTTAGCGGTAGCGATCGCAGGCGTAGATAGACGGGGCTCAGATAGAGGCGATGGTAGATGGAATAGGGAGCCTTTGAGTAGGAATCAGTGCGCGTACTGCAAGGAAGAAGGGCATTGGAGGAATGAGTGTCCGCAAAGAGAGCAGTATGAGAGAGACTTACCCAGGGCAGGTTATGGAAACTTTAGAGGCAGAGCGAGAGGTAGAGGAGGCCCCGGAGGGAGTAATGGTAATAGAGGGAGTAATGGGAACAGAGGAAGTGTAAGGGAAGATAGGTACTATCCAGCAGCGCAAAGGTCCCGCGATAGAGAAGGTAGGGACTTTGTGGGATTGGCTGACACGGTCATGGAGGACTATTGATACCGACCGGGCTCCATCCCCCTTGGTCGAGCGGAGCCTATGGTCGATGTATCAATAGGGGGAAAAAGGAGTGCGTTTATGATCGACACTGGTGCTGAACATTCGGTGGTGACTAATCAAGTTGCTCCTCCATCTGGAAGAACTATTACTGTAATAGGAGCAACTGGAAGAAGTGCTGAAAAACCGGTTCTTAAAAGTCGACTCTGTACATTGGGAGGCCACGTAGTAAAACATCAATTCCTTTATATGCCTGAGTGTCCAGTCCAATTGCTGGGACGTGATATGCTATCCAAATTACAAGCGCAGATTACGTTCCTACCAAATGGAACAACATCCTTAAAGTTTAATGGACCCTCAGGTATTATGACATTGTCCGTACCAAAGGAAGAAGAGTGGCGACTTTATACAGTGTTGACTAGCCAAAACCCGAGGAGTGATGAATCCTTATTTAACATACCAGGAGTTTGGGCAGAGAACAACCCACCAGGACTGGCCCGCAATATTCCACCTATTAAAATCGAACTAAAACTTGGGGTTTATCCAGTAAGCCTGAGACAATATCATATTCCGCAGAAGGCTAAGAAGAACATCCAATCTTATCTGGATAAGTTCATACGGTATGGTATCCTAAAATTCTGTACTTCCCCCTGGAACACCCCATTGCTGCCTGTTCAAAAGCCCGGTACAGATGAGTATCGACCTGTGCAGGACTTGAGAGCAGTCAATGATGCGGTTGTTAGTATACATCCAGTCGTGCCCAATCCATATAACCTGCTTGCTTTAATTCCGGGCGGGGCTACTTACTTTACAGTCTTAGATCTCAAAGATGCCTTCTTTTGCCTCCGAATTGCCGTAGAGAGCCAATGTATCTTTGCTTTCCAATGGGAAAATGCTGTAACGGGCTCGAAACGCCAAATGACCTGGACAAGATTGCCCCAGGGGTTTAAAAATTCACCTACCCTATTTGGTTCAG